AGATTAGGTTTATTTTGGCTCACAGTTTTAGAAGTTCCATTTCATGATTTTTGGTCCCATTGCTTTGGTCCTGTAGCAAGGTACCACATTATTGCAGGAGCTAACCACATACCTCAAGCTCAGGAAATAAAAGTGAAAGAAGAAGAGATCAGGATCCCATAATCCCACCCACCCCAAGGTATCCTAGCACTTGACCCCTCCAGATCCCTTCAGAGTCTCCCAATACTTGAACCTTTGGGGAACATTCAGGATCCAAACTATAGAAAGTTATACCCAGGAGCCAGTATCCTTAAGGCTTCATTGCTCCAACATAATTTCCTTTTCTCATTGCCAACTTTGTTCATTGACTTCCTTCTGACACCAACAGCACCAGCCTTCCATTCTGATAGGTGGAGATCAAAGGTTGGTGGGCTTCCCAGAATCAGGCAGCACTCTCAAGTAGAGTGAGAATGTTTGATCTCATTGAAGTATCTACCCCTGAAACTTGGCCAGTAAGTGAACAAGAGTCATCAGTGACCATGCTTTGTTCTTTTCAGGTGCCACATCTGCCCCATGCCTCATTTTCATCTTTCCTGCCATCTTCTACTTCCGAATCATGCCCACTGAGAAGGAGCCTGCAAGATCCACCCCCAAAATTCTGGTGCGAGGGACCTAGAAGCTGGTGGGTTGGTGTGGGACTGAGGAGGCTGCCCTGAATCTTTATACCTGACCTTCAGTTCTGATCCTATAGGCCCTTTGCTTTGCTGTTCTTGGCCTCTTGCTGATGACCATGAGCTTGAGCTTCATCATCATTGACTGGGTCTCAGGAACCAGCCAGCATGGAGGAAACCACTAGGATGACCCCAAACCGTTTCGTTTAATTGTCCTAGTGCCCCTGCCTAGACTCTCCAGCCCCTGCTTCCATCCAGTGGCTAGTCAGGGGGAGAAAGATAGGGGAGACAGACATGGAAAATACTATAGCATTTGGCCCCGCCCATGTCCTCTCCATGGAAGGTTTTTGTTAAAGAACTAGGACCAAGGCCCTGGGGCACTACCTGCAGGGCTCCCAAGCTTTAGAGGCTTCCTGAGCTGTGAACAGGGTGGGGTTATTGCCTCAGATCCCACTCAAATCCCTCATCTCCCTGGCAGAGTTGCATATGCTGGGGCCCAACAACTGCTTCCTGAGGTCACAGCCTAGAGGCACACAGAGCTAGAACCCAGGCCTGCAGTCATTCTTCCACTCTGCTGCAAGGTTAGGGTCTGAACCCAAGGCCTCATCTCCTCCATCCCACTTGCTTTCACTCCCTCTATCCCTTTGGCCCCTTTTGGACACTTGGGCTCAGGCCCTTGAATACTCTTATTCTCTTTTCCCATCCCTTCCATGAGAGTAGACCCCATCCATAGCTGGGGCCACAAGGTTATGCTGAGGATAGGGTTAGCATGGGTCCCCCCAAGGAACCCTAGCCTTGTCCCTTCACCAGTCCTGGGGAGGCTGGGACTCCCCCACCCCAAGCCTGGATCATAGCTCACATTCCACTGCTGGGAGAAGAGGGACCAAGCCTAGAGTGTCCTGCTCCTGGGAGCCAAAGACCCCAAGGGCCAGAATGGGATAGGGCTGGGAAGGACTGGCAGCCCCCTTTTATAAATATACATAAGACCAGCTGTGTTTTATATTCTTGGTTTCTATAGTCCCTGGGTTCCTAGAAAGTGGGATAGGGTCAGGACATGGATAGTGATGGAGAGCCCCCTGTCTCCTCGCCTGGATGAGGGTGGAGACAGGGCAAGACCCCCACATACCCCTTCTCCTGCCTCCCAGTACAACTAATGGCATGCTCAGATCCAGCTCTGGGCCTGGGCCAAGCTCAACACAGACCTGCTTTCTCACGGAGTGAGGTGGGGAGGAATTAATGAGGCCCCAGGAAGTGGGACAGAGAGAGGCCTCCGGAAGGAGGCAACGTGAGGTGCATCCCCAGCAGCTTCACAGAGGGTCTGAGTTGGGGGCAGCTGAGCCCTGAAGAAGCACCAGGAAGGGCCTCTTGCCCTCCCCTGGCTCCGAGGCTGCCAGGTTAACCCTCTGTCAATGCCTTGAGTCTAGGGACAAAAGTCCAGGGATCCTATGCCCCATTGGGCTGATCTTTTTATTAACAGTAAAATCAACTGTGAATAAAGGTGGGTTAGTGAGTTCCTATGTGTGGGGCCCTGAGTGGCAGTGGGGGAGGGGGTGGCAGTCCAAGGCAGGGCAGGGGCTGCAAGGAGGCCCCAGGTGTCCTGGCCCAGTGGCACTGGGAAGCTGTCCATCGCTTTAGGCAAGCCTAAACCAGCTGCAACACAGCAGGATGGAGCTGTCCAGGCCTTGGCATCAAACCCTCATTAGGAGAGACCCTGCACCATGCTAGGCCACCAGAGAAAGGACAGCAGGAAAAATCTAGTTTGAACTAGCAAGGCAGCTGCCAGCCTGGGAAACTCCTGAAAAAAGAACTTCCTCAAGCTGGTAGCTGCTTGGCCCATAGCAGTGCCAGCTGAGTAGAGGGGGGCTTCCTGAATCCCATTCCCACCATCTCCAGGCACCTGACTCCAGCCTGGAAACTCACCCAGAAGACCTGTGGCCACAGGAAAGAGCTGAACACTAGCCTAGAGGTGGATGGAGCCCAGGGTGCCCTGTCATGAGGGGCTACTGTCTGGATTTCTCAGGCCTGTTCTCCATCAGATGGGGCCAGAGCCCTGTCTGGAACCCTTGGCTGCTGGGGAGTCAGGGGCAACAAGAGGCAGAGTCTGTCCTGCTAATAGGCCCAGGGGATCTTTTCACATACTTCTTCCATCCAAAGAGCGCTGTAGGATAGAGCATCATCAAAACACCAGGCTGATGGGATTTGCTAACAGTAGCTACCCACTCCCCAACACATATAGTACTGGATTGAGAGGGACCCTGGCCTCCAAAGGCCTCTTCTAGCCTGATCAGGGGACAACAGCTCCAGCAAAGAGAGGACAGGTGATGTAACCACTGCACTAGATTCCAAAGCCATGTGCCCATAGACTATGTGAAATTGAGTATCCCTTGTCTCTGGCTGTCAAATTCTAGCCATTCAGCCTCCATGAGGATGGGTTTTCAGGCCCCTGGGCCTTATTAAGCGTTTTTAAATGTTTTGAAGAATTTTCCAGTTTTTTCCTCCTTGTTCTAAGCCTGGGGATGTAGCCCAGGAGTAGAATACTTGCATAGCATGCATGAGATCCTAGGTTCCATCTCCAGCACTACAAATAAAACATTGTTCTGAAAGAATTTTTTCCTTGCTCTTTTTGGAATATTAAGAAGGTAGATGGGCTGGGATTGTGGCTCAGTGGCAGAGCGCTTGCCTCACACATGTGAGGCATTGGGTTCAATCCTCAGCACCACATAAAAAAATAAAGGTATCATGTCCATCTAACTAAAAAAGAATATTTAAAAAAAAAGGCAGGGTAGCCAGAAAGTCCAATATAGACATCATCTCTACTTATTTTCATTGTTTTTCTTGTGAATGTTACAGAAAAATAAGATATACAGACTAGGAAAAGGGACAAAAGCATATTGATTTCCCTGCCCAGCCACTGTCCTTGCCCAAACAATCCTCACCCATGTTTACATGCACATAGACACTTATCAAATGAAAAGGGATGCATTAATTAGTCAGTCTACAACTATTTGTTTATTTTTTCTGCAGTGCTAGGGATTGAATACAGGGCCTCATGCATGCTAGTCAAGCATTCTACCACAGAGATACACCTCCAGCCTTTTAAGAGGTGCTAGCTTCAATTCCTAATTGAACCAAGGACCTTGCACATAACAAGGCACACACACTACAACTTAGCTATTACCCCAGAAATTATGTGTTTATTGAGACTTCCTTTGTGCCAGGCATTCTTCCAGGACCTGCCAAGTACAGCAGTGAAGAACTGGTGAAGAACTGGATTCAGAACAGAAATATTAAACAAACCACTAGCTTAAATCACTTCTTAGAAGATGCTCAGTGTTATGGGAAATAAAATATCAAGGTAAGGGCAATAGAAAACAAGGGATCAGGAGGTAGATCAGGGTGACCCTCACTAAAGAGGCCATCAGAGATTTGAAGAAAGAAGAAGCTATGCGAACATCTTTGGAGAAAAGTTCTAGTCAGTGTGATCAGCCAGTGCAAAGCTCTGAGATAGAATGTGCCTGACATCTGAAAATAGCCAGGAGGCCATTGTGGCTGGGGCTGGGTAAGGCAAGAGATGGTTACAAGGTTGGTTGGAGGCTCATGAGAGGGCCAAATGTTGTGGAGCCCTGTCATGCCACCATAAGAATTTTGGAGGGGGTGAGGGTGGTGGTACATACCTGAAGTCACAGTTACTCTAGAGGCTGTGGCAGAAGAATTGCAAATTTGAGACCAACTTAGGCAATTCAGCAAGACTCTGTCTCAAAATAAAAGTAAATGAATATGTAAAAAGGGGCTTGGGGTATAGAATAGAGTCCTAGTTCAATTCCCAGTATCATTTAAAAAAAAAAAAAAGAAGAAAGAAAGAAAGAAAAGAGCTTTGATCCCATGGTGGCACAGGTCTGTAATTCCAGTTACTTAGCAGGCTGAGGCACATTTGAGGCCAACATGGGCAAATTAGTGAGTCCTTATCTCAAAATAAAAACAATAAAAAGTACTGGGAGCCAGGTATGGTAGTGTATGCCTATAATCCCAGCAACTCAGGTGGCTTATGCAGGAGAATAACAAGTTCAAAACCAGCCTCAGCAATTTAGCAAGGTCCTAAGCAACTTAGGGAGACCCTGTCTCCAAATAAAAATAAACAAATAAATAAAAAAGGGCTGGGGATGGGATATAGCACAGCCCTTGGTTCAATCCCAATATGAAAAAAAAATAGTAAGTAGAACTTTGGATTTGTATTTGGGTAAGATCAGAATCAATATTGGGTCCTAAACAGAGTAGGGGGCAGGGAGGCAGGATCTGATTCAGTATGACTCTAAGCTTTGTATGGATTATGCTAGCTACTACACTGAAACTAAACTCTGGATAGGGTGGGGGGCAAGAGTTACACTGTCACTAGGACTACTGCAATTATTCCAATCATGTCAGGCGGCTTAGCCCAGGTAGTGGCAGAGTTGGTGTAAGGTATTTTGTCTGGAAGATAAAGGTGGCAGGGTTGCCTTATGGCCTGGATATGGGGAGAGAGGATGAATCGGGTGACTCCAAGTTGTCTAGGGATAGAGCTGCCACTTCAGGAAGCTAGGATAGGAGAAGGCTTGGAAGGGATATCAGCATGACTGTGAAGAGTTGAAAGTACTGACCATACATCAAAGTATAGTCACATCAGTTACCGGTGTGTGCTGCAAGCTCAGTATTGGCTGGCAGTGGAGCTTTGGGTCTGAGAGGCAAAGTTAGTGGTACTTCAAGCCATGGGCCTGGACAAAATGGGAGGACGTTTAGACAGAGGAAGGCAACAGTTCACACTGAGCCCTGCAGAAATAAGACAGAATCAGGCAAGGATCTGCGTAGGAAAAGCCAGCAGGTAGGAGGAAAACTGGAAAGTGTAGGTACCTAGAGTCAGGCAAATATCAGATGCTGGGAATCACTAAGAAAGGTTTCAGGTGGGAGCATCAGATTCAGGACCCTGTGGTAACTAAGGATCCTGTCCAAGGCAGTTTTGTGGAGGGAGAAGCAAACATGACTGGATTGGGTAGAGGAAAAAGTGAGAGACAATCAGAAAGAGCTAATATAGACAACTTATGTGAAGTTAAAGGGGCAGAGCCAAAAGTGGCTTTTAAGAAAGATTGGAAGCCCGGGGCAGTGGCACATGCTTGCAGTCCCAGTGGCTCCAGACGCAGGAAGATTACAAGTTTGAGGCCAGCCCCAGAACTTAGTGAGATCCTGTTTCAAAATAAAAAAAAATAAATAACTTAAAAGGACTGAGGATGTAGCTATGTGGTAAAACATCCGTGGATTTAATTCCCAGTACCAAACAAACAAACTGGAAAGATGCTATTGTGGGGGAAGGAATGGAATAGGCTGGTCAGGTGTGAGCCAAAGGTAGGTGAAGGACTTTGTGAATATACTGCTGGGGAAACTGAGCTGGAGGACCATTGTGGGAGGTTGTATAGGGAAATCTGCACATTAGAAAGTGTGAAGGGGGGGTGGAGATGTGGCTCAAGTGGTAGCCCCCTCGCCTGGCATGCGTGCTGCCGGGGTTCGATCCTCAGCACCATGTACAAACAAAGATGTTGTGTCCGCCGAAAACTAAAAAATAAATATTAAAAAAAAAAAGGAAAGAAAACAGAAAGTGTGAAGGGTGGCTGCTGATCTCTGACCAAGTGCTAGATATTAAGACATTATGAGTCCCAGACGCAGCCCAGGGACAACAATGAGAATGTGAAGAGACCCAGGGAACTCATCCAGATGTTTGTCTTGACCCCAGAGAAAAGTCACCCAGCAACTGACTTTCTTTCAAACAACTTGGAGCCGTGATAATTGACTGAGAGTGACTTAGTAATAAAGTAGCCCTGGAAAAAATTTGAGAGAACAAAACTGCTTTCAAAACCACACAGGGCTGTAAACTCACCAGGCCAGGCACAGCTGGGTCAGAACAGTTTTAGCCAGAGATCTAATCGCCCCAGTCTGCGAGAAGCGGCCTCTGCTGCCCCCATGCGATCCACCGTGGAGTCAGGGTTTCACAATGATCCACTGCATTGCCCAGCCCAGTGGCTGGGACCCTCTCACCCCTAAGGCTCCAAGGCATTTCTGGAAATCTTCCTGGCTGGCATACCAGAGGAAGACAGGCAGGAAGGTTTCAGGTGGGAGTTCGACCGGGAGGTGAATACGGAAAAGAGCCATCCCAGGTTCCCCACCTGCCTGACCTTGGAGGGGTCCCCAGAGCAGAAGAGGCTAGACCCCTAGGCTAGGGGCGTTCTACCGCTGAGTTACATCTCTCCCTCCAGCTCCTTTTGTTTTTTATTTTTAGTCAGGGCCTCACTAAATTACAGGTAGACCTCCAATTTGCGTTCCTCCGACCTCAGCTTCCGGAGTCGCTCGAATAACAGGCCTGTGCTACCATGCCCAGCTAGATACACTCTTGATTGAGCGTTCCGGGAGCCGAGTATTATCCAGCTCCTCTCCATCGGCTTTGGAGTCAAAATCCACAGGGCACCGGAGGAACTCCATGGTGCACTGGCT